GAGGGGTCTCCCAGCCCCTCCGCCAGGGGCCGCGGAGCCCCGGAACCCCCCGGCCCGACGCCCCTGCCGCCGCCCTCACCCGCCCCGCAGCGGCTGGCCCCGGGGCGACGAGGGGAAAGGAAGCGGGTGAGCCCGCTCTCTTACTCTGGCTCCCGCGTGGTCCCGGCGGTGGAGGCCCAGACGCGTTCCGAGCCCGGACTCGACCGCAGCCACCCGTACGTGGCAGAGGAGAGAAGGGGCGGCCGGAGCGCTGCCGCTGCCGGGCCTGCGCGCTGCGTCCGCATGCGCACTAGGGCCACCGGGCCGCCCAGGGCCACAGCACACATGCGCCGAGCTGGTCGCCGTGGCCGCCGCCACGCGGGGAGAGGGAGGGGACGGTTCTGCTGAGGTGGCTCGGTCTCTGACATTCAAGGCCGGGCTGGATGTGGTTCTGAGCAGCCTGATCTGGTGGTTGGCGACTCTGCACGTAGCAGGGGGTTGAACTAGCTGATGATTGTGATCGTTTTCAACCCAAGACATTCTATGATTCTAAGAGCTGCTGCGGGCCTGAGATGAAGAGCAGGTCCAACTGTAGCCATAATGATGGGAAATGGTGGTTCAGCCAGAGCAGAATGGCTTTGACACATGTAGGATGGCACTGCTGGGATGGAAAATCAGTTGTGAAATGCCACCCTGCTTGTGGCACAGAGCCACCATCCGTGGAGAGCCTGCGCCTCCACAAGTAACTCAGAATCATTAAGGCGGGAGAAGACCTCTTAGTCCATCTTGTCCAACCATCAGCTCAGCCCCACCATGCCCACTAAATATGTCCCTCAATGCAACATCTGCACAGCACATGAACACTTCCAGGCATAGTGATTCCATCAACTCCCTGGCAGCCCGTGCCAATGCCTCACCACTCTTTCCGAGAATAAATTTATCCTAATATTCAACCTGAACTTCCCGTGGTGCAACTTAAGGCCATTCCTTCTCCTCTGAAATTCTTGCCTTGAAGGGGTGACTGGTAGCCATCTTGGCCATAGTGAGCATGAAGTAGTTGAGTTACAAATCTTTGGTGGCAAGAGGAAAACTGCCAGTGAAACTTCAACCATGGATGTGGGGAGAACAGACTTGAGGCTGCTGAAGGATATCGTTGACAAGATCCCTTGGGAAAATGCATCTGAAGTTAATGGGGTCCATCACTGCTGGTCACTTTGTGTGTAGGCAAAGAAAGATATAACAGAGCAAGATAATGGAGTGATACAAGAGGCCTGGTAGATAAGTATGAGAAAAATAGGAATAATTTGGCCATTTCAATGTAAAGAAATATGTATCATCTCTTCAGTTTTAAAAACATAAGAAAGAGGCCTGGAAGACAGGACTTTTCTGTCCATTACAAATAAAAGACAATACCAGACAATTCATAGAATCATAGAATGGCCTGGGTTGAAAAGGACCACAATGACCATCTGGTTTCAACCCCCCTGCTATGTGCAGGGTCACCAACCAGCAGACCAGGCTGCCCAGAGCCACATCCAGCCTGGCCTTGAATGCCTCCAGGGATGGGGCATCCACAACCTCTCTGGGCAACCTGTTCAGTGCATCACCACCTCTGTGAAAAACTTCCTCCTAATAGCTAACCTAAACCTCCCCTGTCTCACTTTAAGACCATTCCCCCTTGTTCTATTCAATCCTCCTCCAAAACATTCCTTTGATAACACAGGAGATTTTTCCCTGTTTTAACAAGGAGAAACTTCCTGAACTGAAAGCACACATATCACAAAGAATACCAAAGTTCACCACATTAAGATTAATATATTCCACGTGTATAGATAAGAGTCGAACTATTGAGCCTACAAGAATCAAGCATGTAACCTGAAAAGTCTAAATTTTGCTTTGCTTCAATTCTGCAATTAAGATTCCCTGGATGAGAAAAAATAATAATAATATTTATAATTTTCAGTATTTTTAATGCTGAAAATGTTTTCTGTTTGTTCTGACATCCTCAGTACTTGCTCTAAAGTGTTTTGCTAGTATCAGAAAACCTTCAAAACAGTATGTTTGATGTGGTTAGTTAGTTAGTATTGTCAATCCAATACTATATATTCTTCAGTTGTAATTTTTGTGTGTTTGGTTTTTTTGTTTGTTTTTTTTTTTTCTGTGGGTTTTTTTTTTTTTGCTTTTCTTTTTTGTATAATATTAAAATAACACATTTATTAAGCTTTTTAAAAGTTCTGTTTTCAAAATTAAATGGGATTTGGAGAACAATTTTTGTGGGGGAAAAAAAATCACAGACAAGAAAGTGTCATTACTCTTTGAAGGAGCCACCTTTACAATATCCAGCTGCTTTTGAAGGCATGATCTAATATCATTCTTCCTAAACCATGTAATAATTTCTAAAATACTTTTTCTTTAACGAAGTTGAAGGAATCAGCAAAGGCAGGCATTACAAATTGGATTTATAAGTATATGTATGCAACCTGAAACATGCATAACCAGTGCAAAAAAAAAAAAAAAAAAAAGTATAGATTACCTTTCCTTTCCTGGATAAGGTTTACTGACCTTTGGCTTTCTGGAGCAATGGTGATGAACTTCAGCCTTGTATCTGATAGCTGGCTCTTTTGGAGGCTTATTAATGGGGGAGGCTGGCCATGCTTGTTCAAGCAGGTTATGAAAACCTGATGTTTTCAAACATGATGTTCATTTTTTACGTTTTTTTAAACCAGAGATAGCCAAGCATACAAATATATTTGAAAAAAGCGATAATGCTTTTTAAAATTACCTACATTTCTCAGGCTTTTTTTTTCTTCACACAGAAGAGAATGAGATTGTCAGAACATTTACTTCCGTTTGTTAGGCAAGAGCCCTCTACAGTGGGCTTTAGAACTTTGCTCAAGGTCACAAAGGGAGAAGAGCTGCTTATTCCTCTGCCAAGCTCCCCATGACACCAAAGGGCAGACAGGCAGAAAGAAAGGTGCAGCCAAAAGCCAGTGTGGCTGAATGCTGGCTGAAGTACCCCAGCTGGTATCTAGCAATACCTGTATACTTCCAAAAGGGAATAGGTGTCCTAACGTAAGCAAATGCTGGGGTGATGTGAATAGGACTTAGGTTTATATATTTATATAAAGAATTTCTTTCCTAGCTTGTTTCTTCAAGTGCTTAACTTTTTTTCTTTTTAATTACTTTTATTTTCTCATAGGAAAACAGAATATTTTATCTAACTAGTATTTAAATTGAAGAAGTTCTTGTTGCAAAATTTTAAAATATTCTAAGATACAGATTTTCTTCTGTAAAAACAGTTGTAAATTCAACATTTTATGGAGGTAGTGCATATAGTTTGGACTCAGAACCAGTAAGAAATGTGCATTTGATTTACCTTCTGGTAAAGGTAAATTAATTTTTTTATTAAATTAAAATTGTTCTTACAAAAGGGAGAGAAGAACTATGTTACATAGGCTAGGTAAACATGTTGAACTGGTCTGAGAAATGAAAAAGACATAAACAGAGCAATTTGTGTATGTCTGTACTGTAACACAAATCTATAATAGCCTCCTTTCAAAGACCTTCCTCTGTTGCTGCAGTGCAAGTGGTATCAAGACGTACCATTGTGTTACCTCTGCACAATAGCACACATGCAGTTCTGCTTTTTACTCCTACTGTTCTTGTCTTAAAATCTATTCCAAGCTATCTGCAGTTGGAACAGTATGTTTGTCATTCAAGATACCAGTGAAATCTACATAAAGCAAGCCACGAAAAAAAAAAAAAAAGCAGAATTATATTTAATATATTTACAAGTTTCTAACAGCCGTTAGGGAGAGTGGACAAGGAAATATTTTCTGTGGAAATTTCAGATAACCTGAAAATTCCTTGGGAATGCTTTGCAGGCTGTGATTTTGAAACATGCTAAATTTCTGAATGCAGATAAATTTGTATCCCTGGTACCCTCAAAACAGAAAACACTTCAGAAACTTTTTTCTTGAAGATTGGTGATCTGAAGTCCCTATGGGGAGGGTTGTCAAACACTAGACCAAGTACTTGGTCACATTGTCCAGGGCTCCGTCCAACCTGGACTGGAACATCTCCAGGGATGGGGCATTCAGAACCTCTCTTGGCAGCCTGTTCCAGCACCTCACCACCCTCTCTGTGAAAAACTTCCTTTTGACATCTAATCTAAATTTTCCCTCCTTTAGTTTAATACCATTCCCTCTTGTCCTATTGCTATCTACCCATGTTAAAAATGTAAAAAAAATCACTGTATCCGTTAGTATAGTAATAATTGTGTCAGGAACTTCTTGCAGGGACAGTTTGCAGATCTGATCCCCACTGGTATGCAGAGTCTCAGTTTTCAGTAAATCAAGACAGTAAACAACTTTAGATTTAGGGGTGAATGAATTGTGGGAATTATCACATATGTCCAGTTAGCTGTTTTGCAGAAAATATTTACTAATATATTAATGAAGTATCCACTACTTCATGTACTTAATATGCCTTATATGACCAAAAAGCCAAGAATTCTTAAGGTCTGTGTTGCTCCTGGGGGAAAACAAGGTAGATGCTTTCCTGTAGGCTTTTATTCAGAATCTGTAAAAGTTCTGAAGGCATAAATCTCTAGTTACTTTCCTGGGATGCTTTTCCACAGCTGACAAGGAAGTTTTTTCCTGATATACGCTCTGAATATCACATTGCTTTGGAGACCAGAAGCATAGCACCCTTGCCTGAAAAAAAAATCTGAATCTGTGTTCCACCAGGTCCTCCACTCTACCACCATTCATTCAACAAATGTATCAGAGACGTTTGTTGTTTGTTTTTTTTCCAGTGTCTAAATTGTTAGTCTCAGAATTGCCAGATACTTTACCTGTGTAGCATTAAAAATGCAGAACATATAGCTGAAAAAAAGATTCATTTCCTCATGACTTATTAGCATGAGGTAGCCAATCGTCCAGGTGATTCCAAGCATCACTACTATAGAGATAGTGGCAGTCATCTTTTTCATGAATGAATCCTTTTTATTCCTAAAAAAATACATGCACAAAAAAAAATTCTCCATATAATTTAATCTCTTTTTGAGGTTAAACTTTCTATTTTACTTACTAAGGGCTATATTGCAAATATCTGTTACTCAGCTGAGTTGAGAACATATATCTTACTTTTGGTTGGGGTATCATCCAGGAAATAAATTGAGAATAAGAAATCTGCCCACGCTTGTATGAATAATCTGTCTTTGGAATACCTAGTGTGGCTATATATTTCTTTGATTAAAATGTGAGGTTTACCAAGGCAGCATGAAACACTGAAAATTAGCATGTTAGCTATGATAAGCTTTTTAGAATAACTTCACTCCTAATGTTCACAGTTTTCAGTATAACAATTAGCTGCCATTAAAATTTGGATATCAAGTATTTCTGAAGCCCATGAGGAGTCAGAGAGATGGTATTTTGGTCTACTCCAACTATTAAAATTGTATGTTAAAGGAATGAAGTGCAAAGCTTTGTTGAATAGGTTAGTTCTTTGAGATTAGTAAACAGTAAAGCATAACCGTATTGAAGCAAAGTTGAGTAACATGGCAACCAAAACCAAAGTGGTGGTGGTTAGGGGAGAAGTCTACAATGTGCTCATTTATGTAAATGAGAAAATCCTGATCCATTACAGCAGTGGAAATTATTCTCTAACTGCTTTAAGTGTGTATTGCTTTAAAACAAATGATTTTCTCAAAAATCTGACTTTGTAACAAGAAAGTCTGAGCTCTTAATAAGAGATTGAGGAATATGTATTCTGAAAGATCTGAGGAATTCTATGCCACCTCACCTTGTCAGATTCTTGTTCTCATTCCATATCACAGAAGCAATGATCTTGATGGAGATGATAATGTTAAAGAGGAGTATGAATGCTACTGGCAAAAGGAAGGACCAGAATATGGGTTTTTTCATGCTGAAATTCTGATTTTGATCCAGGGCTGCAAGTCAGCAACTTTTAATACAAAGAGAGGCAGTTTCAAAAGATTTGTTAGGCACATTGTTCAATGCACCAAAACAAAACAAAACAGTTGGCTATTTTTCATCCTGAGGGATCCCTTTGGGCTTTCTAGCCCTAGCCTGTCTCTGAAAGGTGATCATTCCTCGACAACAGGGCTTTCAGACACGTTCCTTTGGAAAATGGCCAGTGATTTATCAAATAAACTGCAGAGGTAAATATTGCAAAGCGGCATATAGCTAACCAAATAGGTATCTGTCTGCCATATACAAGTTTAGAGTGAATATTATAATAAACCTGAAGAGCAAAAGGAAAAACTTTACGGACAAAGGTTAAAACAAAAGCGGGAGCAGATTCAGGAGGATGAGGTTACCCTTCAATCATATTTATTTCCTTTTTTTCGTTGACAAATAAGCTAGATGTCAACACTTTCCATATCAGTACAATGAGATGACCACCACAGAATCGTAGAACAGCTTTGTCTACCCTTATATAATTATGTGGAAGGGTGTTTGTATTTCTGAAATGTGTTTTCTCTGTATCATACACTATCACCAAGGAGCACTGCAAGTCTATAGCCTGCTCTGGGGTGCTGGCATCCAGATGAACGCAGATATGAAAAACACACAGTATTAAGGCATATAGTTACACCCACCACAAAGATTTTAAATAAATCAAAGGACTACATTTAAGTACTGAAATGCAATTATGCACTTAAATGAAGGTCTTCAATTTCAGCTTCTGTAAAACTGTCTACAACTCCCATTTAAAGCCACAGGAGATCTTGCAGGAGGATTCAGGGCAGATGTAAATCCAGCATCCCACATTCTTAGTGAGAAAAGCTGCAGTTCCTTACAATGAAAGTTGAGTGGAGAATTTTGCCCTTCTTCTTTGTTTTTTTTTTTTTTTTTTTTTTTTAGTAGAGGCACTTAAATATACAAAATAACATACTAACAATAAACCTGGAATGGTATTAATAATAAGCCATCACATAAGGTATACGATAGCAGGTATTGTAATGACACACAAACTTACAATTCTTCCTGTCAGTAGTTTAAAGCTTTCCCTTCTCCATAAGTAGCTCCAAGTGTTACTGCAACTACTACAGCAGGGACCCCTAATTAATAAGAGAGACACTGGCTTGTTATTGTTCAGTTGCACAGGTGAGCCTTATCTCTATTCTACATAAATAACTTCTTGCCTACCCCCTCCTTCAGCCCTACTGTAGATCTTCCAGACTGCCAACTATTGGCTGTGCTCTCAAAGTCTGAAAAGCAGTGAGTCAGAATTGTGCTCTTTCAGAAGCGCAAATAGTATCAGGACAATGAAGAACCTAATGCTGGAGAACAGTGATGTGTTGCCAGGCAGCTTTCACTGAACATTTTCTGACTTGCATGTGCAGTCCATGTTCTAGAAGTTTTAGAGAAATTATCTCTGCCTCCACCCAAATGCAAAAAATAATAATTAAAAAATGAGGCTCTGAGCTGCTTGGTAGATGCCACTGGAAACAACATGCTGAATACACAATATGGAAATGGCAGGTAGTCTTGTGTACTGTATTATTTTTCACTTTATCTCCTGGGCATCTAACTGCATTCTTCAGTTCTCCAAATAGTTTCCTTTCAGCTTGCTGCGTTGCTGCTAATTGGTATTACTTTTTTAAGAATGCACTCTTATTAATACATAATATTGTATTATTACATAATATTGATACATAACATTAGTATTATTAATATTAATTAATATATCTCAATATTATTACATAATAATAATACATAATATGTAACAAATTATGTAAGTCAGCCCATGCTTTTGGATGCATGCAAGGCTCTGGTGGAGGTCATGAGGCATCTCAGAGAGAGCTCAGTGAAGCATTTGAGTCTATAAATGCAATCACTGTATCTGAAAAAAATAAAAAATCCTGTAGTTGACAGAAACTGATTGTTGAATGCCTTGAGTATTGTGAAGATTTCTCCTACATGCAATAGACGTATGTTGCTGTGCTGGTGAATGAGCTCTTGTTTTCAGTGCTGTATCAAGACAGTGAAAACAAGCTTAGCTTATAGCAGTTGAGTAAACTGTAACAGGGGATTATTTATTAAACCATATTGTCTAAACCAGAGATTACAGTTCCTCACTACTGATCTGCTACGTTACACCTCTCTCTGTCTGTACTATGTACCTATACTTTGGTAAGAGTTGGAAGTATTTGCAACTTTAAATCTTACCCCATCCGATTGCTGACATGGTTACAATGAAGTGTCCAGGAAGGGGTTTCATGGTTCTAAGCAGCATTAAGTATAGTTGTGCAGAATTGAGTGCTGTCCACAGAAACGTTGCCAACAAAAAGTAGTGCAGCAGGACAGCCACAACCATGCACCAGGCATCTATATAATTGATTGCATTCTTAGTTTTCTACATTTTTTTATCATGAAAGAGTAACATGATTTTATAGCTGTGTCACAATTGTGCATTTGATACCAAATAATTTCTATATTTTTTAAAAGCTGTGAAATCAGTTGAACCCTCTTGAGAGAGATGTTACAGACATTATGATAAAGACTGTACATGATCACACTGGTTTTCCACAGGATCATTGTCTACATCAGTGAGCAGAGTGGATGGTGATCTGTTAATGAGCTCTTCCACATTTGTTTTATTCTCGTTGCTGTGTATGTGAGGCTACCTTTATCTCCTTGACTCTTTTCTAACTCAGATGAGAGGACTGCATTACTCATTTCCCTGTGGGTTGGTATATGAATGATGTTCAGCAATTTGATGTCTAAGTGATTCGCAAATTTCCCCTTCATTATACTCTTGTGTTATGATGTCTAATGTTACTGTCACTAAACAGAGAGAATAAGAACACGCCTGCTGGTTTCAGGTACTCAGTCTGAAACTCCTGCAGTTTTAGCACGACACAGTCGCAGCTGTACATAATCAGTGTTCTGCCAAATCATACACAACGAACAAAATTGGACATGCAGAAAACAATTGTCCTATAACTAGCAGACAGGTGTTGTGTGCCTGGTAAGAAGGGCAGAACTATAACTTGCCAGAGACTCCCACTGCAGGTTAACTCATCATTAACCCTCGCCAGCAGCTTCAGCGGAAAATGAGGAACTATACCTTTGCAAAGCACTGCAGAGTGCACATAATGGGCATCTGGAAAAATCCTGTGTGCCTTTGAATACCATCACGACACACAGATGTGAGAACCTGACAGTAGTAATAATTTCAGTTGAAATGGCTGATGACTTTGTATTTCAGACCAGGTATGTATGTACTAGATTTTGAACTTTATGTCTGCAGAGATTTGGTCAAAGATTCATTATGTTCTGGATTTTTAGAAAACAAAAAAGTGGAAGGGGGGGGGGGCGAAGAAAGCAAACATGAAAAGCTTTCTGGCCATTACAGGTACATCTGCATTAATCTGTAAATAAGATCATCTAGCTCGTTTGACATGTGCATTTTTTTTTGCCATTATATATGGTACCAACATACATTAAAACATTGTTAGAAAAAGTTTACATTCAGGTTCAGTTTTTTTTAAAGTTATTTCCAAAGCATGTTTTTTAGGGAATATTCATTCAAAAGGTACCAGGTTTAGGTTTCAGTAGCTGAAAGAACTTACTGTTACTTTTAATATTGAGCAGTATCTGGACTTCAGTACTGAGTTCACTAGTAAGCCCAGGGACATTTTCCTGTATGTCTAGTCTTGTTGATGGAAAATATGACAGGGTTGTATCTAGAAAAATAAACAACATCTGCATTAGAATTTATGGTACATACCTCCTTCTCCTTGTAAATCTAACAACGTGCCCAAGCTTACCTCTCTGTGCCAAAACCAGAACTGTAGAGGAGTTCAATTTCAGTGGAACAGACTGGACTGCAACATTGGGCTGAGTGACGTTGCCCATCAAAGAAAATTCTTCCATTGTTTTTGTGAGGCTGCAATACAATAATGAGCGGAAAAAAAGTCACTTCTAGTTGTCACAAGCAGCCATAGGCTCAGCTCCCTATCTGATTTGATTGTCTGGCATGTCAGGTAGAGTGAAGAGGCTGTGCGTGTTCTCTCGAAGAACAAGGGAAATTCTGTACTTTTGAAGTCGACAGAAACATTGCTTTCTAACATCAGGAGAAGCAGGATTCAGTCATACATTCACCTGGGAATGGGGGCAATGTGAAATCTGGCATACAGTCAAGTATGAAACAGCTTGTTAAGTAAGTCAGAAATTTCTAACAAGCGCAGGAAGTTTGTCCTTTGTGGAGAGGGTGTTGGTAGCTTTCTCTTTCCACGTGCTACGAATTGCAATAATACTTCAGACTTCTGTGAAGTGCAGTGAAATAAAACGGAAATGTTTTTAAGTGGCAGAATACCAGCTAGTAGGTTAGTCCACCATGTAAGCCCCTATCTGTCCACAGGTAGTACTGTGAAACTTGAATAATTTGCCAAAACTGCTGATGACCAACCAACCAAATTGGAAAATTCCAAAAGTCCCCACTTCCCTGTCCTCATTCTTTATCCAAAGCAGGAAAAATCAGCCAAAATTGTTGGTGTAAATTTGCTGAACCAATCAAATTGTACACTGGAGTTGAACACTGAAGAAGCTTTGGTACCTTCATGATGATTTTCATTCTGAAACACAAGGGAAAATGCTGTTTGCTAGATCTAATCAAAAAGGGCAAAAAAGGGCGAAGGCTGAGGTTACCTTGCTGTAACATTGACGAGATTATTGTCATCAAATTCTGTTTTGTTGGCATCTAAGAGTTGACTTACTGTAGTTAAAACTGCCACAGATGCCTGAGTCAAGAAGAAAAAAAAAAAGAGTACTGTTCAAAAGCAATTAAAATAAAGAATCTCTTGCTCTACAGTGAGTGTCCGACTTTTTTGCTTGCCTGAATCATACTGAATGAAGAGGAATTATCTTGGGCCACATATAAAATATATACTAAAGTTAATGTATATAAATATAAAAACTTTTTCAAAATTTAAATTCTTTATTAAAACATTGAAGAGAAATAAAAACATAAAACCAGGGGGGGTCGGCATGTATGTGATCTACATAGTGCACTGGCAAAGTAAGAATGCAGTAGACATCACTTGAAAATACATGCTCCACATGCTGTGGAGTAAACAAAATAAAGTGTGTAACTAGAGAGAATATAAGCTTAGAGCCAATGGTTCACATGTACCACACTTTTATTAACTTAGACAGAGAAGATTAAATGATGAATTTAAACATAATATGATCCTAGTATTAGAAGTCCAGATATGGGCAAGTCCATATAACTGATAAAACCAAATTTACATTCTGCTTTGGGAAATGAAGCAGCAGTGAATCCACAAAAATGCACTCAGGGCCACTGGATCACTAAATGGCAAAATGGATGCATTTGGTTGTGTTGTTATGTAAAGCTAATTGGAAGCACACTGGAGAGAGTTCCTTGTGCTGACGGAGGAGAGAGAGAATCCATATCCCAAATATTAAGCCATTAAAAACTTCTTTCTGTCGTAATAATGCTCACCTGAGTATCTTCTGAAACATTTGGTTTTCTTAGAATCTGCACTGCAATATTCGCAGCAGCAGAGATGTCCTGCGTTGTCAGTCGACTGGGAATGGAGGTAAGGATCTGAGTATTACTTGCAATTGCTGAAACACTGCTGGTGTCTGCAGTTTCCACCTGCCAGGGAAACGCCATTCAGCAGAAAGAAAATAATAAAAGGAAAAAAGAATCACCATTTTCATAATATTCTTACATAAAATCAAATTATACATGTAGAAAAATGGGAGTCTGACCATGTCTTTCTCCACTTCTTCCTAGCAGGTGACTGCAGGCAGTAATAAGGCCTCCTTGAGCTTCTGAGTTTGCAACCTTCTGTCTGCCTTTCACTATCCCTTGAACAACCAGAACTGGATTTTTTGAAAAGCCATCTGAAGAACTAAGAAATGTTATTCAGAATAGCAGTGCATCTTAGCGCAGCACTAATAAGCTGCACTGAGGACATAGTCCTCACTTCAGCACATTGTAGGGCTTCAAATTGGCATAAACATAAAAAAGGAAAAGATATTCCAGTGCTGGGGGTAATAACAACAATTTTTAGAAGCTCTGGATGGATCTGGATGGAATCAATCACTTTAATGTGCAGGGCATAAACATCTGTAATATCTCAGGCATGCAAACATACACACACAAAATAAGGCACTATCTATACATTACATGAAGGCATAGCTGTGTGACAATAAAATTTAAGAGTGTGGAGAAGGTGCTAATCATCAGAAGAGTATTTTTCATAGGTTGTGAAGATTGACAGTGCACCAAGTCATCCCTTTTCTAAACCTCTAAAAGCTGTCAAAAACAAGTTCAATTAAATCATGCAAATTTCTTGAAGAGTTTCTACAGCTCAGAGTGGTAGGAAAGAAAGGTTAATGTGTTGCATAGGGAGGAAAGACTTCTTTATCTATAATTACCAGGGATTTACTATTGATACTTGATAACATCAGGATGTGCACCATGTACGTTGTGAACACGTATGCCACTGTTCTGAATTGTAGCATCACTTTGTATTCATGCTAAATATTTGCACTGGCAGGAATAAAACCCTTTTAAATCTGGCCTGTGGATCACTAGGATAAACATCTCTTTGACTCGTAGCTGACTATCTGACTCGTAGTTCTATCTTCAGAACCCGGGCTGGTCTAAGTTCACTAGATGGCAGTACAACGCAAAAAAAAATCATAACAAAACTCAAAATCGCTGATAGCAGCAGAACAATTTTATTTTTGCAACCAAATGTATACCTGTATCTTATTAGTATTATAAACAGCTGCTACTAATATACAAATATGTTGCTGCCCAGATAGGTTATGGAGTCTCCTTCTCTATAGATATTCAAGAAGCTTTCCTGTGTGACTTTCTGTAGGGAATCTGCTTTAGCAGGGCGTTGGACTTGATCTCCAGAAGTCCCTTTCAACCCCTACAGTTCTATGGTTCTATGATTCCATGATTCTGTGATATTATTATGGAGAAGGTTTTACTTGTGATCCATTTAATGAAAGTTATACACTGGGAAATTATCTTAGTCTCAAGGATTGAACAACAAAAAAAAAAAAATCTAATGAATAATCAGCTCTCCTAGAACTGTAGCTGGTCTCTTTTTCCTTTTTCCTTTTTCAGTTGGAACTTGTAATAGGGAATAGAAGAGTAGAAGCAGAAGAGGAGCAGTTGCTGTTTGTAACATGCATAATTGTGTTCAGTGCCCTATGTTTTTGGGGTATGGTAGAGCTAAGCCTTAAAACAAAGCATAAGTGTTTATGGTTTTATCATGAGCAGCTTATCATTCATTGAGTTATTGAGGGACAAGAGTGTTTCATCCATGCTCAACTTTTCATGGGATTGAATGGAGATGCTTTGCTCTTAATCCTTCCTAACAGTGTTAACACCACTGTGTTCTCTCCCACTAGTCTTCTTGAAATCCCTTCCAGTTTCTCCTTAGTTCAATATCCTGGGTCAGCTTTGCTTCTACACTGAGGTGTTTGCTGTGAAATGGGAACTTGAGGGAAGAACTTCCAGGCTGGTTAGATAATACAAAATGGGATGCTGTGTTCAGGCACAACCAAGCAAAATTAAACAATCACAGTTGGAAAAATGCCATATGCAAAACAGACACTTCCCAAGAATTCTTCTGCAAATACGTTCATGGTTGGTTTTTCTTTCTGTAAAGTTTTAAAAAATGTAACACAAATACACAATCCCTGCTCAAGTACCTATTGCATTTTTTTAACATGATGCTGCACGATCTCTGCTGCTTAAAGAGCATGCTAAGATATAATTGAAGATTACCTGTAATGCTAGAGAGTCCAGATTTTCATTACAATTCAGAATTCTGGGAGTCTCTAAAACTGGAATCATTCCCTTTCTGGAGCACAGCCGGACTGCAATTGAAGAGTTACCTGTAATTTTGTGAAAAACATTAAGATACACATTTTGTACAGAAGTGTTTGCTTACATGCACATGACTTCATTGGGAATTGAAATTGTACAGTGGGTGTGACTGTGTATCCGGTGTTATTTGCTGTTTGCATATAAAACATTTATCTCTTGGGATTACAAGTGCCCATCAATCATTGTTCTCTTTCAAACACATTTTGCACTCAGACAAGAACTTGTCAGAGTTGCCGAAAATACTCTTGCCAGATTCAGATAGGTATTAATATGCTAGAGCTATAGAAACATGTCTTTTAAATCAGAGACGGAAATCAACATTAAACCATCTGATAAACTGTTCATCATATCTTGAAAAGCATACTCCAAATATCACAAAAAAAAAAAAAAAAAAAAAAAAGGTCTTGTGGAGATCCATGCAATAGGTACTCCTCTGAAAGGTACTGCAGTACTCTGTACTTTCCAGATCTCTTCTGTGAGAAGCCCATATCTTGCTTTTTTTCCTGATTGAAGTGATACCACAATGCAACCACAGTTCATGGAAAGTGTCCTGAATCCTAATGTTAAGTAGTAAGTTATATCAAACACTTGTTCTTTAGTGACATGAACTGACTCTCAGCCAGGATCTGAACAGGTATGTGTACGTGTATCATATCAATTACATTTGAGGCAGATGTCTGTGTGGATAGATTTATGCTCCTGCTGCCTGAGCTCTGCTTTAAGCAGAGAGCTCTGATCTCCTGCTCTACTGAGCTTCTATCTTTCACAAACCTTACATTTGCCTTTGGGAAGTGAAAGAAAGTGAAAGAAGCGAAAGAAACACATACCATTCACAGTGTTAGGTTCACACTTCTCTTTGGAGCTGCTGTATTTACCTACAAAAATCCTTTCAAAAGTAAGGTTTTTTACCACGTTTTCAGAAACATTCACTGTGTAAATGCTGTCTTCACAAAAGTTAACTGTACAGAAAAAAAAAAAAAAACATATTCTGATCAAACATTTTTAATAGATGGAGCAATTTTCAAAAATAAAATGTTATACATTTTATTATGTATATTATGTCCGTGTATAAAATATTATACATAGACAATAGAAACTCACTGAATCTTTGGCCTGAAAGGAAATAAATGTCTGTTAAATCAGTTAGATAAATGTTACCTAAAACCAAACTGCTGTAAGAGATCTTGAAGTCACCAAAGACATAAAAGCCCATAACTTTTACTACCTGCACTATTTTCACTGCCTCAGTCCTGGTATATTTGAAAAAGTTGATAAAGCTTCACTCTCAGAATCTTGCTACCTAGGCATTAATTAGATCTGTAACTTAATGCCACAAAACACAGCAGAGGGGGGGACAAAAATCCAAAGTTGCTGCGAATGAGACTCCAACAGTTAATGGAGTTTCAGTCTTAAAACAGTTTCAGTCTTTGGTGACTGAAACATGATGTCTTAGACATGGTTGCTGGAATGGGAGGTGGAAGTTCAAGAAGGCTCCCTCATGTCACCCCAAACCCCCCACTTTTGCCAAACGCCTCATATTGGTGCTTCTACAGGCAGGATGGTGAACTTAGTAGATGTGTGGCCTGACCCAATGTGGCAGCCTATTGCATCCTAATTTCATGTCACACTGCTAGAACAATGCAAATTGACTTTGTAATGTTGCAAATGCTTGAAAATACACTACAGCATGGTCTTAGGATTTGCAGCATCTTGTACTTGCTAACTTTTGTTAATTGAGACCACATTTCAGGTGATTGTCTCCCATTAGCAGATATTAGACAAAGAGTATTTACGGTCCTGAGAGGGTTTGGGAGACTTGGAGCCTTTCTCCATGTTCTGGCACTCATTTCTTTGCTAAGTCACATAACTTTTTGTGAATCTTATTTTCTATAGGTTCTGCATTTCCTCAACCAGCATTCTCCTTGTCTATACTCATGTCCCAAGTGCAGAGATCAGCATTTGCCTTTGCTGGCTATTATGAGGTTTTCACTGGACTGATCCTCAGATTTCTCAAGGCTCTTCTTTATTGAGGTGAGAGCTAAATGGCCTTAATTTGCAGCAAGGGAGGCTTGCATTGGGTATTAGAAAAAATTTCCTCACAGAATGAGTGGTGAGCTGTTAGAACAAGCTGCCCAGGTAAGTGGTGGAGTCACCATCCCTGGAGGGTTTCAAGAAAATGGTAGATGTGGCACTGAGGAGATGGTTAGGGGGCATATGGTGCTGACAGGCTGTGGCTGGACTAGATGATTCAGTGATTTTTTCCAACCTTAATTACTCTATGATTCTATGAGACTCTACCATTAAGTGTGTCAACAATACCTCCACGTCACTGCAAGTTTAATATTGCTCATGGATTTGCTGAGAGGGCATTCTGTGCTATTATTCAGATTGTTTATGAAGATATTGGGCAAAGCTGGCCCTAGAATTGACCAGCAGGTTGCCTTAATTTTCCTGTATGTCAGTCAAGCCATTGATACTGCACTTTGAGCTCAGCCACTTAGTTTATTTCACCCCAGCAAATGGTCCATTCACCCAACTTGTACATTATCGCTTCCCAAATGAGAATGCTGAGGGAGATAGTATCAGAGGCCTCACTGAACACAAGATGTCTTATATCTCTCACTCTCTGTTGTTTGCAAAGCCAATTATTTTCTACAAAAGGTAGTCAGGTTGCTCAAGCTTGAATTGTAAAATCAAACTGACTATTCCTAATAATTCTCATCTTTCATGTGCATGAAAATAGGCTCCAAGAGAATGCAGTCCAGAATCTTCTATGTTCTGGTGAAACTGACTGGCTTATGGCTTCCAGAGTTCTCTTTCTTTAAGGATGGGCATAATGTTGATCTTTTTTCAGTTTTCTATAGCCTCTCCTATTTGCCATGGTTTTTCACAGGTGACAGCAGCCCCACAGTGACATTAGCTAGGTCTTGTGGCACTCTTGCATGAATCCTGTCTATACCGATGCATTTGAATACTTCTGTGGTGATGCTGCCTTCCTTCTGACAGTGAAACCCAGGAATGTGTTGCTACATTCGTGCATAAATGCATATATGTTCATAGATGAACACATATTTAAGATTTATCTTGTGTCATTTCAGCTATTCAGGTCTGAATGTGTTTTTGGCTGGTTTGTATATGTACTTACACTACTTAGTCTTTGAATTACAGGAAAGAGTTCATCTGAAATAAAACTATTCGATGATTTTTTTTCCCCACTGATGCAAATCTCAAATTACTGCAAATATTCTGAATTTGTAAGTAAGGCTGGTCCAGAACTAAATACAAAAATGAGCAAACAAACAAAGTAGGAAGAAAAGCAGGCTCTTTGGTATGACCTGTGACAAAAAGAGCCAAGATATGTACAAAAGAAATGAAATATGAACCAAGATGAATATTTCCATTAGGACAAATGTAATTGGTTTACAAAAGTTTTTTCGCCCCATGTTCTCTGCTTTTTCCTTCTGGCAATAAATCATCACCTACCCAGCCATACCATTTCTCCTTTCAACTTCCTTAACACCCTTTGTGCTGTTTTTCCACACTCTCGATGCTCCATTGGGCCCCCGTTCCTCACTGTTATGTCCTACATTCATCTTTTGATTTCCAGTACATATAATACACATCTTTATTTTGTCATTTGCTAGAGAGGAGGCAAATGTCATGGATAGTTGGGAGTGGCTAGGAAGGACTGACCAGCTCATTGGCAAGTTGAATTTGTCAGGAAGGGAGAATAACAGACAGATGGGCACTATAAACTTTTACAATGTACAGTAAATCAAATACAGAATACCCATACCCAGGAGTGGACATAGGAAATTAGAATTAACATCATGATTTGTTTCCAGTGCTGAAATTCCAGATGATTTCTCTGAACTATTTTGCTCAAACATTCCAATGCATCATGAACCCATCCAACCCGCCATTGTTTGCTGGCTGCTCTACCCGGTTCGTCACAAGGAAGCAGTATGGCAGACCTGAAGTTTCTGTCTACCTAGCAACCTCACCAAGAATATTTTCCTGGATAAGCCGCAGACCTTGCAGCATCCATCTGAAAAATAGAGTGAGTTCATTTGACAAAGGTACAGCTGCACAGCTAGCTATGTGGCAGCCTATCTGCATGTCAGAGTGGTCACACTGCAGGTTGTTACTTCCAAAAGTGTGTGCTGGCTGGTCTTACCACCCTGGTGATCATCTGGGAGCACCCCCTCCATTTACACCAGCGCAGAAATGCTATGCTGTGGCAAAGAAGCCTGAAATGGGAGGCAGCCAGGCCAGTGCTACACCAGGTGTCAGAAATCTGACTCACCCAAAACTTGTGGCTGTGGTAGCAGGAATTAAGGAGACTGCAGTCCCCTCGGTAGTGCAGAGCTGAATCTTGGCACCCCTCTTGGCACCAGCAAATCCAGAGAGAGGAATACTGGCCCCTGAGATCTGACTCAGATTTTCAAGTCACTGTGATGTTGAAACAGAGGAATTCAAACAAAGGCCAAATTGGCTAGAAATAAACCACAGACAGCTGAAACCTTTAATATCTTCCCCAGATATATTACTCATTCAAAAGAGTGACAGAAGTGGGTGAAATATACAGCCTCACCGAGCAAGATGAACCACATCACTGCTTGCACGCCTGACCCTGCTGAGCAGTGATGAGGAGACAGGAGAGGAGTCATCAGCCTCCCAAAGCAGAGGGAACTACAGACATAGCACCATTTGCTGGTGCTGCCTTGCTTGTACTGACCTATATCACAAAATTGTCCAACCCACTCGTTGGGGCACACACAGGCTCTATCCTGGCAGAATCCACCATTGAGGCAGAAGCAAGGAGGTACCACAGGTCCTGTAGTTTCTGTTTAAATAAATTATCAAGATGTAGGTAACATAAGTAAACGTAGAATATACATGCATATGAATAATTTGATGAGGGGAAGAAACAAATAAGATGCTGATTTGTTTGGATCTTCATCTAAAAAATGTTTCATTCTGTGATCCACAGGCTAGCACATACTCAGCCACTAGTTCATCCTTATCCCCAGTAACAATGCCGTGAAAGTGTAGTCAAAGGTTTCAGTAATTAATCTGCATTTGCACAAATACATAGGCAGAAGCTGTTCTGTGTAGCTGCCAGAAGAGCAGGAACAGTATGGACTTCCAGTCTGCAAGAAGCTCAAGCTGTTGAATATGTGAAAAGCCCAAATTGCTTCTGCAGGATTTCACAGGAACAAGGGGGCAAAAAGAGGGCCATAGATCCCCCTGACTCAAACTGGTCACAAGCAGAGGATAATCAGACATCCAAGAATCACAGAGAGATATTCTGATGTGGCCAGGAGCTATGGGATAACACAGATGAAAATCCATGCTCTGGTCTCAGCCATAGCTTCTATTCATACTCCAGGACAGGTGCCAATTTTCATTCTGTCTTTTGGCAAGAATAGAGGGCTTTGTCTGAAGTAATCATTGCACTGGCTGCTGCTGCTTCAAGAAACAAAAAACCCAGCATACATGCAACAGCAGTGAAATTGCTGATCTCAGAAACTTCTGCATATGCCATGATATTGGCAGTGTTCAACAAGCTCTGAAAAACTGTAGGTTTCTCAAAAAAAGACACTGGAAAATCTTTAATGACTAAGGAGTGTTCTGCAACAGAAAGTGCAGTAGAGAAATCATTGGTTGATCTCAAGCTTTGAGAGATGGCTTGACGACATGGGGAATTCCGCATGAACCAAGACTTCCTCTCAGTTTATCTCACTCAGTCCAGAAGTGGAGGGTGGAGTTTGGAGTCCGTCTGTAACATTCACAGTGAACACAGTGCTCTGAGGCACTTTATTCCTTGAAATTATACAGAAAGATGAAGCTGAGGCCTACCAATGGATACGACATTTTAGTGTCTGTATTTTGAGATGCTGGCAAAGGGAATAAAGCCAGAAAATGTAAAAGTTAATAGTGCCGTCAGGAACACGTGTGCTGTTGTATATTCCTCATGTTCTCACTAGGACTGCTTAATTTCTTACATTTTAATGGGATTCATATAATTGGAAAATTATTGCAAAATACAGAGGATCTGCCACATGGCTGGGGTAATTCAGTTCTTGGCAAGCATTGCTCAACTCTTTCTCATGTTGCTGCTATTTAGTATTTGTATTTCAGTCTGCCTCAGCTATGTTTCAGCCAGATGTCTATGATGCTAGTGGAATAACATCTATGGACAGCTAGGTAATGTCTCCACCAGCCATCAGTTGTCCAAAACAAATGGTTTCTCCACTGGAAATCTTACAAAAAAGGAAGGGAAACTCATGCAGCAGTTGAGAGCTTGATGGCCTCACCTCAGCATTTGCAGAGAAGGGCTCTGTGAGCTCAAATTGGGTCGATGTTTGAACTGCTCATGCTCCATTACTCATCTCTGGGGCAACATAGCAGAGAAAGAGCAGGCCTTACAGTGGGATCCCTTTAGGCCTGGGAGCTTGCAAAATACTTGGGAATCTGTAGCACAGCTCCAGGCCTCCGTCTTATTTGGTGAACTTGTGCCTGAAGTAAACATGGTATACAGAATCCCTAAAAACAAAGCTGCAGGAGTGCTGCCTTGCAAATGCATCAGATTCTGGGCTGTCTACAGGAGAATAGGGGAAGGTGATCAAGCAGGGCAGCCTTGGGCTGGAAGCACTGATGGTGGTACTTCTACAGTCAACAAGGCTGTCAGAATCTAACTTTCATAACTACCCTCCACACAGTAAAACTCTTGGCCTAGATAATATTGGCATTGGCTTAAAAATGTAGGGTTCTTCTGTTTTTATTTTGAGTTTCAGAAAACATATTCTTTTTATTTGTCTTTGGCTTTTAAGTTTTTCAGAAATTAATCACTGCAAGAATCACACTGATTTTGACAGTATATATATTTAAATCAAAACTAAGATTGTTGCATCATACTGCGTCATCAAGACCTTTTTATTTTGTCATGTTTTGTTCTTAAACCAAACATCCCGGGATTGCAGTTTAAGTTTAGAGAAAGAAGAAACAATACTCCATCTATGCACAGCAAGTGCTGCATCATGTGGACATGAAGATATCTTCCATCCTTGAAGCAACTGCAGTTTACAAATTAAGCAATTAATATTTACTTCTGTGTCATTTTGTGTGTTTAGGTGTGTTCCCTCCCTGCAAACATCTGATAAATCACCTGAAGCAAATATAACCTCATGAGAATGTAAACTTTTCTCTATATTGGTGTTTCCTACATTCCTTCCGCCAAGTCTTCTATAATGCAAATTGTAATAACGTCATGGACAGGTGCTATACAACACATTTTGTTTATATGGTGTTCCTTATCTTGTAAAGCTACCTTGTAAAGATACTAACACTTTAAAGCATGATTTACCAGCCTAGAAAGAGATTCGTTTCTACCTTTTGGAAAGTAAATCAGATTTCTACCAAAAGAGTGAAAAACATTCAAGACAATTCTTCAAAGCTATGTCAGAGAATTAAAGAAGACAGACATTTCCACCTAAAATGCCCAGGGCAGGGATGAAGCTAATAGTAATCATGTTTAAGCGCTTCAGAAAAAGCAAAAGAAAACAAAGACCTTGGATACAGCTCAAATGGTGCAGAACTGTATTTCTTACCTTTGTGAAACCTGACGACAAGCTGCCAAATGCACAGGGAACAGAGGGTCACAGTCGCTGCACAGCAAGCAGTCCCAAGTAACACTCTCTCCCAGTAGAGTGAAGGCATGTTGCAGTGCCAAATGTCTGCTCTGCTATAAAATTATGTTATACATCCGTAACCGTGATGGATAAACCATTAACTGCTACTTATCTACCGCTAGCACTTTAACCTTTTCGGTTCCATTTAGGGAAGAAAAAAAAAAAAAAGCACAAAAACACACATATTTGTAGAGAAGTAGCACATCATTATTTAAAACATTTTTCACACCACAAAATATCTCACTTATCAAGACATTATATCTCAAGTATTCTTGTTGCTTGGAGCAGGTACCCAGCTATGCTTGTACTAACAAAGCTGGAGCCCTTTTACTGTGTGTGTCAAGCCCACAGCCATGCTGGTGGACCTCTCCTCACTCCCAGCACAGTACAGCACCCCAGTACACATCAACAGGATTTCTGGTCTCCAAACCAGACCTGCCCAAGGTCCCAGGACGCTGCCGGGCATGGCTCTACCTTTACTGGTCAGGGTGTTAACACCAGAGGCCTGTCAGGGCCACTACCAGAGTGCTAATGGCAGGGAAGCCAGGGGTCTGAGGAGGGAGGCTGGAGAGGAAGAGGAGGAGGTCTTCCCCTGGTGAGAGGAAATGGAGATGGAAACACTTTATTAAAAGTGTTTATAATAAACACTTTATTATAAGACTTTATTAGGGCTGGCCAACAACAGGCCTTGGTGTTTAATTTCAGGAGCATAAATGGCACCTCCACGCCATGTAATTGGGACAGGTGGTGAAGCAGGGACTACTCAACAGCTGCCCCTACCTCTGCCCAGGCTGGTAGCTGCAAACCAGTGCACAAGGCCTGTGCCCATCTGACAGGGGGTGAGGCCCTGGCGCACCATGATGCAAACACCAACAGCTAAATAAGAGGAATATAGAATCATAGAATCTTTTGAATTGGAAGAGACCGTTAGTGGTCATCTAGTACAACTCCCCTGCAAGGAACAGGGACACCTACAGCTACAGCAGGTTGCTCAGAGCCCAGTCCAGACTGGCCTTGAGTGTCTTCAGTCATGGGGCATCTATCATCTCTCTGGATGATAACTGCTCTTAACACACACACACACACACAAAAAAAAAAAAAAACAAAAAAAAACCCAAAAAACAGAAAAACCTTTCTCCTTATATCCAGACGAAATCTCCCCTCTTTCGGTTTGAAACTATTTCCTCTTGTCCTGTTGGAACAGATCCTGCTAAAGAGTCTGCTCCCTTCTTTTTTATAGCCTCCCTTTGCGTACTGAAAGGTCTCTGTCAGGTCTTCCCAGAGTCTTCTACTCTCCAGTCTGACCAATCCAGTTCTCTCAGCCTGTCCTTGTAGGAGATGTATTCCATCCCTTGGATCATTTATGTAGCCCTCCTCAGGATGTGTTCCAACGGGTCTACATCTCCACTGTACTGAGAACTACACAACTGGATGCAGCACTCTAGGTGAATAGAGGGGCATGTGGGTAGTAACCTCTCACTTCCCCCCATCTGAAATGGAGGTGTCATCTACCTTATTCTTGAAGGGATTCCAGGTGCAAACCATGGTGTCCCTGGGGGAGAGCCTCACTGCATCATCTCTGGCATCTCCTCCATTAAATGTGGTCAGTGAGCAGGCACTGAAGCAACAGGGAATAGATATCCGCGTCTTTGGGCTCACAAGATATCTGTCTCATTCAGATAGAATGAGGAAGGGAAAGAAAACTCTGGAAAAACATACACAAAAAATGTGAAGAAGAAAATTTACAACTCAAGAACTGCTAAAATCAAAACTCTCTTCGTGCTATCATGTCTCATACTGACAAATTTAAAAGTAGGACATTAATGTCACTGTCAAAAAGAAGAGGCAAGCAGAGCTATTTCAAAAAAAATGATTCAGAATAAAGACTGACATTTTTTCATTGGTAACCAGTGAATGAGTCCTTGGTACACTAGCAGGAACAGTGCCCTTCTTCTGCATGGTGTTCTTCCTCAGCAGCTTTTAGGAAGGGGGCTTGTTAGGCTTCTTTACTTGCAGAGGCACTTTCATCCCAAGTTTAGAAACAGATCTCAAAAAAAAGACTTGTGTAGAGCCAGTGAGAGCAAGGCAGACCTAAATAGACAGGACATTCTGAGGGGAAACCAAGCCACAGAATAGTCCAACACGGATTTAAGCTATATTCAGTATAGACCCAACTGTGAGGATTGTTATTAAAAGCATACTCAGCTCCCACATCTAGTGTCCTTTGCTCTTAGAAGTGCTTCTGTGTGATAGCAAGGGCCTTGTGTACTCACAGAGATAGCAAAGCAGGAAAGAAATAAAAACTAAATTCCATGTTTACTAATGCTGCCCTTACTTTTCAGTGAAAATGTCATCCCTCCTTCATTCCTTCACATATGTGGCATCACTGTATGTCTTTGAGTGAGATGTTGGTCTCTACTGTGATTCCAAAATTTTGGCCTACAGTCTCAGGTTGCAAATGAAGATAGTTTGTCAGGTGGGAAGTGGCAGAAGAACTATAGGCTGAAAGAACTGGGAGCTTCTAACTTCACCAGAGCTCTTTATATAAGCCTTAATAATCAAACAGTAATGGCATACGGAAACAGATGGCAAAATTTAAACAAAAATACTTCCTAGAGGATAGTACATTTTATTTATGAAAATAGTAAACTTCTTTTATATGATCAAACTGAAAGAAAACCTTAATACTTGCAAGTTTGTATGTGACACAGCTGTGGGAAGACAGAACTATTCTTGAGTGACTAGATGAGTTTCTTCTGCTTCTCTCCATTTCCTTTGAGACTTAATTGAAGCCAGATGTTTCTTACTGCCTTTCTATTTTTTGTTTTCAAGCCCAAATAAAGTGCAGTGCCAGCAGTAAACACTGTCTTTGACATTTGTTCATGTGTCAACTACATCTGGTTGAATCACAGCTACAGACAAGTAAAACTCCAACAAAGCAGTGCAGAATTCTAGGATTCTAGGATTTCACTCATGCTGTCATTCAATTGTGGAGAAGGAACTTGGCATCATTACTTTTGGGGTTGCCATACAGGTGCCATAAAAACCCAGAGTATATCTGGGAACCTCATTCCACCTAGACAGCACTGGAAGCAGACTGGAACACCATATGCCATAAATGCAGCTTCCCCTCTGCTTTAGTCCTCAAGCTAGAGATTTCTAGCTGCTCAACTGCTAACCAGTTGCATGAATCTTCTTTAGAAATGCAGCCTGTTGTCCTTTTCTTCTTCCTCCCTTTCAGAGATGCAACAATTTGCAGACATGACCATCTCATTTCATGCCTTTGCAGTGATGTTGACCCGTTGGCTAACATCCCTTTCAGAATATCTTACTAAAATGCAGTAGCCCTTATACAAGAACTTTTTTTTCTACATAAAGCTCCAAACCATGATGTTGTATTTGTAATTATGCTTTTTCAGCTATTTTTTAAAATGTGTTTTTATTCTAAGAAGTGTATGTAGTGTCTTGTAGAAATCCATAAACTGCAACAATTTCACATCAAGTTGCTAGAAATTACTATTCTGAAAGTCATTTGAAGACTAGTTATGCACTGTTTGACAAATATTAGGATTTTTCCACATGTTTTGAGCAAGTACATATTTGACCTAGAACAGATTTTAGAGGCAAATGCGCAGCAGCTTTCCAGTTATCCTCCTCCCTTTTAATGGATGTGCAGTCCTTGGGAGTACTTGAAATTCAGTCTTTATTCCACTATTGCGCTTACTAAGGGACTTTTTGGATAAATAACTATTCTGTTTTCTTCCATTAACTTCTGTAGCCCTAACCCAACTGCCATAGACCAGCAAAGCTGAACTACATAGGGATACTACATTAAAGTACCAGATTTACCAAAGCTTTCTGTTACCTCAATATTTAGGATAAAATCCCCTGCACTGCCAAATTTATTCTAGGTGGGCTGTCAGAGTAACATGTCTATCTATCCCATCCTGCCCCATAATGATTATGGTTTTCCCCAGAAAACATAACAGACATCTTAGATGAATAAACTGATTTTATTTAAATAAAATTACAGGCATATCTTGTCTATTATACACTACCATACAGTTTTTAAAAGACACCAATATTTAACAATAATTTAAATTCTCTTGAGAGCAGCTACCTTTTCTGAGTGGTATTTGCAAACTTGTCAGAGTTCCCTCCACTCATTCAATTCCAGCAAAATCAGACACTAGTGAAATGCCAACAGTTGTACCCTTTCCACCATACAGGCACCCTCCTGTTCTTGGACATCTGTTTTGAATAACACTTGAGAAGACTGAGTCAGATGCTCTGTGTAATGAAAACCCACCCTTGAAATGCTTGTTTCTGTCCTTTGTGGTACATTATGCACAGAATCCCACCATAACACTCTATATATTAAATGCAAATCCAAGAAACTGCTCTTTCTTTAAGACTTCAGGACCTGTTTTATTTGCATTTCTTCAAGTCTGGTAAGACAACGCCACCTTCTCTTATACAAAGAGAGGTTTTGGAAGCAGTACATCCTGTAGTTCTTGGTAATAGACTGTACTCACTTCCACTTCAGGCTTCTTTTAGAGGCACCTTTGTGAAGCAAATCAGCACCACAACCAGCTGGGTGTCTGGTGGTCTCTTATCATTTACATGGAATTCAGCACAGGGGAACATGAGGAGATGCAGGAGATACCTCAGCAGGCTGAGTTCTGCTAAGGATCTCTCGAAAGAAAACAAGCAGGCAGACTAACACTGTTGAAATAACATCTGGACATGGACAGGGACAAAGCTGAACTCATGAGGCTGAGGTGGTCCCAAGAGGAAAAGTGGCAGCTGGTGGCTCTCCTGGCCGTTAAGTCCGAGTACTGGCACTTTCTGCTTCTGAAAAATCAGGATTTTGCTAAACAGCTGCCATATTCACAGCTCGCTCAGGTGACTGAATCCCACGTGGACCTGTCACTTTGTCAACAGATTCTGGCTCATTGAGATAGATTTTTGTAACATTCCCCAGGTTCTCTTCCATAAGTAACCATCTTCTCCATTTCCCAGCACTTCAGAAGCTTTA